ACTACAGGGTCCATATGGTCTTATTTGCTTCATACCCTTGACCAACAGCATGACGAGGGACGGGACATCAGAGGATAAGATGCTCCCCTTGAAAACGGTACGCTCGCACATCAAAATGCTCAAGAATCCCGAGATTCAGTGAGGCTATACCAGCTCCGGTTTTCCTTTCTCACCCCCGCACATATTTCACATAATGAAATTTTATTCCTGTCACCATGGCCATGTTTAACTTGAACGCCCTTGCCCCCGCCGCTCTCACCCTGACACGAGAACAAACCATCACATCGGGTCAGCCTGGGTTGGGCATGACCTTTTCAGTCGAACACGCCTCCTCTCTCTCGAACCAGTGAGCAGAGGGTACGGCGTCTTCCTCGAACAGAAGCGAACATAAATGTCTCTCTCCGGCTTCAAAACCACCAGCAGCGCATCCACGCCCTGTTAAGCAAAATCGTTTCCTGGACGGTCGTCGCCGTGCCATGGGCTTTGGCAAGTTCGAAGTCCTCCATGTCGACCTCACAAACTGCTGCTGTTTGGGTAAGGGAGAAGCACCAAAGCGGTGTTATTATCCCGCAAGTGGAGCTGTACACTCTGGTGATACTGCTCTTCCGCGATATGGAATTAAGTGAGCAAGAGGCCAATTTCCTTCTCTTCTGACTCAAACCGTTCAAACGATCGTCATCAGTACCACAGCGGCGACGAGTGGTGCCCTGGTCCAGCAGGAAGGTTGGGGAAGGAATGGATTTCTGCGGAATCCCGTATACGTTCAGTGTGATTCCGCTGGTGGCTTTGGGCTCATCACGCCACGCTTGCGGCTCCCACGGTCCCAGGATGTTGTGGTTACGTGTTTTGAACCCTTATGGAAGCATACCGTTCTATCTAGACTCGACAAGAACATACCCCAGCAGCACTCTGCTGATTTTCCCGTGCTTGATCACGAAGGAGCATATCGACGTCCTGTACGCGATTAGACTGAACGGAGGATGGGACGAACGACAAGCCTATGCAGATATAAATGAGATAAAAAAATCGCAGGACGCCAATCTCAATGCGGCAGAAGACACTGGGCTCGCTGATGAAGAATGGTGTTACCAAGAGCAATGAAGAAGATCTGGAAGCTCCCAAACGCTTAGACAAGAGAGCCACGGCAACTGCATGGCCAGCAGACCCCTGATCTTTTCCCGACTGGCTCACGGTCAAGGCCTTGGGCCCGCTCGAGCATTACCATGCTGCCCTGTGGTTTCTCACTTGGGCAGCCCAACCGGAATTCATGTTAGGGAGATGCAATAATTACAAAGTGTGATTGATGCTCAGGTGGCGGACGGGAGACTCCACTGAATACGAGTCTGTCGTCCATGCCCCGAGACCTCGGAGTAGGCGTATCAACAGGATAGGAAGTTTAATCACGGTATTTTGCTTTGTCTGGGCCACCAATCCTTGTCGTAACCCTGCCTCATTTGGTGTATCAATGGGCTGGCGACCTCCAAAGGATGTTTGAATCGGACACGATGCGGATCTTGTGTTACTACGGGGACATCAAGGCCACCCTCCGCCCCCAAGCTGGCCCCAAGCTGCCCAAATGATTGAACCCTTAAGCTGGATAACAGCGTTATGCCGGACGCTACCTAGGTAAGAACAAAACGTTTATCGAATTGTGTATGGGCTCCAAAGACAAACTACAATATCTCCCTGAGAAGACCCGTCTATTCATCGAGTTGAATGAACAGGCATTCTCGAAATGCTGTGTTGAACCCCGATAATACAATAGCGTAGTAACCCTGTGTATATGGCCAGCAACCAAGCGGCCCTTTCGTGTTTTCCCCGGCGAACCAATCATCCTAGGTACGAGAGACAGTTATGGAATAAGGCAGAAGCCCCGTGACCTACCCTAGTGGGCAGTCTTGATTTATCCTGCGCACATTCTTGTCGTCAACCGTCAACCCGCAACCCACCTGCATTCTCACAGCTCTAAAAATGGACACTCATATGGAAGATGCCGTTGAATCATCATGGGACCATTCCTCTATTGAGGATGCCATGGTTGGCCTGGCAGAGGATATGCTTTACTATTTTAGCTCGGATTAACTATACTAACCACCATGATTTACTCAAGAACTCACACTTAGCCCCAAAACCTGCAAGCTCTCCCGTAGCAGCAGTTAGCCCTGCTGATCAAATGTCAGTAGGGTCCGGATCGCCCGAGGTATGATGGATCATCCGATTTCTACCTTGATCTGATTTCCATGATGGCATGGAACGGGGCATCTTAAAACCTGCTTTTCCTGTGCGCGGAGGGATAAAGAGCAAGAGGATTTTGCTAAACCATAGCAGCGTGGGATAGTATTGAAGAAAGAACTTAGATGTACTGCGTGTTAACAACCACCAAGGCTGTGCTTAAAGGTGTGCGGTGGTAATTAATCTTCGCAGCGAGGCATTCTTCCCGTTGCTTTCTCTGATCCCCTAAGTTCTTTCTCCGTTGCTGCCTCGCATGGGAATCCGATGGACGGCGAAATTTTGCCCTGGCCGTTCACTATCGCGATGTGGAAAAGCCCCGAGGCGTTGATGCTGGGCCTGAACGACTTGAAAGCTTTCCAATTAGCAGTCCGCCGCCGTCGCTCCCTTGGTCTCGATATGGACGGCGATGTCGGTATGGAAAGGGCCTTGCGGTCCCTGTATCTGACCCAAGAGGCGAAAATGTCTTTTGACCATCGGAAGAAGCGCACCGAAAGAAGTTGCAGCTGACGGTCAAAGCCAACCCTGAAGGATATTGCAAAAGACCTTTCCTGGTACCGCACTAAAGCTACAAGCATCCCGTCGTGGCCTTCTTGCCCGTGTCCCTGTTTTAGATCATGACGCCACTTACAAGGAGAATGCCGAGCGCATGGAGAGAACCTACTGTCGTCTCAAGCAGGAGACCCCGAGACCAAAAGCATGTGAAGAATGTGGAGGCAACTCGACCATTATCTGCTCTCCGAAGGCCGGAAAGTGGTTGCGCAGGACGTGCGCTCAAAGACTGCGCGTTGCAGGTGCCGGATACGTGGACATATGCCTTTCCACATGGCTTGTCCTGTCTTATCCATTGTCCAACCAACGAGCTGGCCAAGGAAGGATATATAATAAATATAGACAATTGTCTGTTTTTGGCATGTGGTGCTCACTAGTCGGACCTGAGAAATCGAGATTGACGCCAGCCGTGCAATGGCAACAGGCAGCTCTGTTGGCAACGGCGTCTGATTGATGTCCAACATGACGAAGAAGTCGTATACTCGATCGAATTGCATGCTTCTTCTTGAATCTTTGTGAAAAGCATTCTCTCCTATCTCACGATCAATGACTTATCCTGGCATACTAAAACAGGGAGGAGTACCTCTCATCAACAACTACTGAAACCATCTCCATGAAGAGGAAGTTCTTCCAGAGAACGTCCCTGAGAACAGGGGCGGGGTAGCGGAGCTACCCTCGTGACCTACCAGGCTGAAGAGAGCCAGTGAATAGGACATAGATAGACTGTCTAACTTCCCAGTCTGGTAATAAGCTCTTTGCCTCTCTATCCGTTTTTCCAGACTCTCGACTTGAGATATGGGCGCATATGCCCTGTAAAAATACTTTTGATACTCGCTCTTCGATTCGGGGCAACGAAGCATACTTCTTTCACAACAATGTTGGCCCTCCGGCCCCGCTGTACTCGCTTGTTGACCAATAGAGAAGGTATAAGCAAAGACATTCAGCAAGTTAGGGATCCGGCTGGCAGAGTACCTATGGTAGAGTGCGTAAAACATCCCGCTACCAGGTCTCCCACTCATTCTCCTTTAAATTTCCGAGAGAATAACACTTTGTTCTATTAGTTCGAAACAACTACTTCCACAAAGAAGATATATTCTCTGGGCTATTACTCTACAAGAACGCGACCTATTATAAACTGCCTATATACACCTATCCCCGCGCTGCTCGCCCAGTTCTAGGTCATGATCGTTCACTTTATTAAGCCCTTAACTCCTCCTATCCCTTGTGATGGCAACGACAGAAGCCGCCGTGCTCATGCTCATGGGATAAATCCAAGTACTCTCACTCACATGCATTCAGTTAGCAAGCTACTTCTATATGGGGACTTAAGGAGAGTAATATATTCTTCCAGAATGTACATAGGGGATGGCATGAGCGTTGTGCCAGAGGCCTGGTTGCAGGGGGACGAACAACAAATGGACCACTCGCATACTGCCCATCACCTCAGGACGTTCTTAATTAACCAGTTCCATGCTTAGGAGGAGTAAGCCCAGGGGAGGGTACTTTTATGGACCACAACGTTTATCAACACCAGGGGAATGCGAACACGATCAAATTCCGACCGCAGGTGACCGCAGTATCCCCGAGGACTGGACTCAAGCAGAAAAAGAGAGCCCGGCTTATATGGGTTGACCTGACACACCTCCCCGGTATTGGTAAAGGAACCGAACTTTAAGACAAGGCATCTTAGCTTTTTCTACTGCATCTCTCAGATTCCTCGGTGTCTGGCCTTGGTAGAACAGAGTCGATATACCAAGTCGGATATAGCTCTCTACCCAGAGCATGTCTTTTTCCTAATCCCGAGCATGGCCATAGTTGGTATTACTTTTTACTTAAAAATAGTTCCTCTCTTCTTACAGGCCGCTCTAGTCTGGTGTGCTTTTTTTACTTAAACATGGCCTTCTCTTTCAAGTACACCCGAATTATTTCCCCCAAAATACCCCTTTTCCTCCTCAAGCATGCCCGAAGTGCGCGTGGCCTTTTCATCAAATGTGCTTTCTCTCTTTTGGAGAGTTCCGAAATCTGGTGGGCCTTTTTTCTCATCCTTTCTTCTGCTCATATGAGGTCAATCTGCTTGTTTCCTGGTACGTGCTGGGCCTGATTAATGTGCCCTCCCCCCTCAACAAAACTTGCTAACATCCCGCCCATGCAGGATTCACCCCGCGAAGGCTCTGTGCGGGATATCACTGGGCATATACCCTCGCCTAGCCTATGTGTGCATGTCCCCAACCAGGGGCGTTGCTGGTCCCTTCAGCACCACGAAGGGCAGCAGATTCTTTTCGGATGCATTTTGCGAGAAGTGCGCCAATTCCTCCGGCGGTCTTCCGGCCCCTCATCGGCCACGAGCAAAGCAAGCGGTTGAACCACCCGACCTCATCTTTTGCTCCCTCCGCTTGGGCGGCACAGGTTCTGTACGTGTGCACCTTCATCGACTGCGACGCGCCGCTGCGCCACTGGCTTCCGAAGCCAATACGGTGATTTGTGGCAGCCAGGCTGTGTTTGGCCTGACGACGAAGGCAGTGAGAAGTTCCATGGATTCCTTCAAGGAATCATTTGACACGTCGCCAATGTTAGACCGGGAGCTTACTGTGGCTAAAAAGAGTATTTAGACCCTTGGGGCTACTGCTGAATACGCAATCGACTTACACCAGTCTAAGAACCTGGTATGGAGTGAGATAAGCCATAGAGATCGTACTTGTCGTTGTCGACTTTGCGCTGAGCGCTACGTGTGGCTTCACAAATGCCCGTACGACCCCAGCCAAAACCCGCTGTACCCGCCGCAACCTAGGACGAAGGGTTGCGGCGTGTGGCTTCACAAATGCCGGTACGACTCCAGCCAAAACCCGCTGTGCCCGCCGCTACCCGCCCTAACTGGGGCGATAAAAAATCCTCTATGAGCAAGCAGACCCCAGGTTCTCGAAAGAAATGTGTCTTTTATCAGCCACGTTCGACAGATGTTCCAGACATAGAGGTATCCATATCCTTTACCCTTAGGCGATTGAACACTTCCTGCTGCATGGGCCCCCACTTTGAATCTGACACGCTTGTTCGCGCCTTCTCCGCTGTATAAAATAGACATTCTGAATCTCCAAAGCATCGGAAACCTTCTTCTTCGCTGTCAATAAGCGTACGACGATCTTGGGCCATGGCTGTACGGCGTTCCACCCCCTTCCACGGGCCTTTCCCTCACCTTTGCGCAGCACGCGTTGGCCGCAAACTATACCTCCCGCCATCCCGATCGTCTGCATTGGATCGAGGCCGTCTTCATCTCAATAGCAACTTCCTCAGTATGCTCGGCTACTTTGGCTTCTCTCTTTCTCTTGTCTGCTTCCCCTCTTTCTTTTGCCAGCCACACTCTCCCATTTCTCTTACTGCTTCTTTGACCATTTCGGCCTTTCCCTTGAGACGTGGAGTCGGTCGAGGCCTATGCCAAGGACGTAATCTCGTGGACTCATAACCAAAGAAACATTGGGAATAGGAGCACTACATACTTTGAAGTCTTGAGGACCTGTACGTTGATACATGGATCTTAACCAAAGCGTGCGACCCAGCCGACGGCCATCTGATTAGGGGCGACGAGGGGCCGCGATTAGTTTGGGATCTTGCCAATCTGTCTCCCCTCTTCAGACACTAACACTTGCATTTCTTATCTGAGACCATCGTCTCTGCAAGATGGCTAGCGGACAGCGACAGCTCAACGCTGGAACAAAACAGACCTGAATTATAGCTAATTAAATTGCATATTACTGTCATAATACAGCAGGTTGAAGTACACCGGTACCACGGGGCATCAGAAGGCTATGTTATTCTCTAACTTACAAGAGAAAACCCGACACTGCCTACTGCAGGCAGGGATCACCAACATAGAAGGGACTGAGAGGGCTAGTGTGCAGCCAGGTGCTGGAAGCCACCACAGATACAGTTATTTCTAGTGGATCTGCTAGCAGGTCAACTCGACAGTGTCATAATCAGCCTAATTGATTTAGTGGCACAGGGAAAGTATACTCCTGCCGCATACCTCGCAGTGTGTACCTGTCATAAAGAAGCTAAAAGATCCACGACCGTAAGGCGAAAGAAGAAGGAAAGCATGCATGCAATCCCTGCGGTATTTCCGGCACAGATAAATAGCCATTTGCGGTTCTGCGGGCCACGGAGAGGAACTCGGTCTTCCTCTTCGGAACATCTAGGATTGGGTGGACTTTTGTTGAAGCCCACCGGTTCGTCCATTTAGGTCGAAAGCTTAGTGGGTTAAGTGTATAGGTAAAACCCATTCGTATGTACTATCCAGCCAGATAATGTGAACGGCCAATACAAATCAGCCAGGACCAGTGGGGTTACCATACAAATTGTCAAGCATTTATGGCAGGCCCGGCTCATAAACCCCGTCGTCAAATCCCCACGCCCCCTTGAGTCTCCTCGCAAGCGCAGCAGGATACCGTGATCCTCGAACGATGTCCAAGGGCATCTCAGTATTGAGGACTACCTCAACAATAGTGATCGTTACCGTACGAACCCCATGTGCCCAGATTGGCCGTATCCTCTAACGACAACCGGTGTCTGCCCTGAATGAAGTTAGGTGCAGGGCTCATCACTAAAGCAATCTAGCTTACCTTCTCCTGTTGTGCTGCCTAATAGTAGATGCAACAAAAGTGAATAATTTCCTGTGCTACTGCCTAAGGTGTTAACATCCTAGTCCCGCTAGGCTAGCTGGCTCCCACTTACTAAAGTAATACTTTGCCAAGTATACTTACTTTCTTTCCTTAAAGTAAACCCGCCCTTTACACCTTATTTATTTTACTTAACCTTTTAAATTGCATGCAGCAAAAAGGCTAAGGCTTTATTATTTTTAGTCCTTTTAATCTCACGCTAAGGTTAGTACCCGTCTGCCTTTTTATAAAGGCATGTTTTAAGTAATATTTAAAACTTTCTGCCTGGCTACTAATACCTTTTAAAGCTTTAATTATCCTACTTCCAGCCTTATATTTATAGTAAAATTAATATTCACACGTGAATTTACAAGCCAAAGAAGTATCTAGAAATCTATTAATTTAAAGTAAAAGTTTTTTAATAAAGAAAAGAAACAAACACGAACCGCACTTTTAAAGATTATTAAGCTTAATAAATTTAAAAATGGCATTAGGAACAAGGTAAACTAATTAAAAAAAATAATTTTTAATTAGTATAATGCATTCCTAAACAAGGTTAAAAATATTATAAATAGTATAGACCAAGAATACCTGGTTTTGCATTTAGGTAAATTAAAAAAAATTTTAAGGCAAAACCAAAAGCCCTGCTGCCAGGGGCAAGTAATACTAAAATTAAATAATAAGGGCTTATTTAATTATAAGGTTATAGTAAAAAATCTAACTACCCCTAGAAATAATTAGGTAATTAATTTAGACAGGCTTAGCACAAGCGGGAAGCTATGCTAAATAGTTAAATTAAATAATTTTAGCTTAAAAAATTATTTTATAGCTTTAAAGGGTTTTAACTTTAATAACTTTTACTATTAATTATACTTTTAAAGTAGGAAAAATAACAAGGTTAAGCTATATATAATTAAAACTTTTATTATAGGCCTTTGCAGACCTAACCTACTTTTTTATATTAATATAAAAATTAATATATTAATTTCTATTAAAATACTCCTAGTTTACTACTAATAGTAGGTTATAAATATATTAAAGTAACTAGGCTTTTTATTAATAACTATCTTAAATACTTAAACTAGTAATACCCTGGAAGTATTATTAGTTATAAGGGGTTAATTACTACCCGGGTTTAAAGGCTAAAAACAAACTTAAAGTAACTCCTAAGAACCATTAAAAAACTAGGGAAATAATGCGTTATAAAAACTATGTTTAGTTTAGTAGCTAAAAAAAACAAGGAAAATAACTAAATATTAGATAGCTAACTTAGCCCTAATAATAATTTTGCTTACCTTAGTGTGCCCATGCCAGAGGACATGTTATTATTCCCTTATTATCCTAAAAAAGGGTTTGTTCCTCACGGCGACACTACCTTAATAAATATATCTTACTTTTTAATAATACTAAGAATAACCCTGCTTATAACCCTAAGCTTATTATAGTATAGGTATCTTCCCCTATTATAAAGCGTAATAATAACTACTTTTTAAATAATAAGTATAAGAAAAAGCCCTTACACGCGGAATTTAAGTTAGTACTTAAGTTAAAATTTAAAAAAAATAAAAAAAATAACTTATTATTAAATAACTAACTTAGTTTTAATAATAATTTTATTTAGCTTAATATGCCCATGCTAAAGAATATATTATTATTTTTTTTATTTTTTTTAAAAAAGGTTTTATTTTTTATAGTAATACTACCTTAATAAATATATTTTAATTTTTAAAAATATTAATAAAAACCTTGCTTATAATCTTAAGCTTATTATAATATAAGTATTTTTTTTATTATAAAGCCTAATAATAACCCTTTTTTAAATAATAAGCCTAAAAAAAGTTTTTATATATAAAATTTAAGTTAGCTTCTAGGTTAGGGTTTAAGTAAAAAAAGGGAATTAATTTATTATTAAATAGCTAACTTAGTTTTAATAATAATTTTACTTAGCCTAGTGTGCCCATGCTAAAGACTATATTATTATTTTTTATTTTCCTAGGGAAGATTTTATTCCCCATAGTAATATTACCTTTATAAATATAACTTAATCCCTTAAAAATATTAATAAAAACCTTACTTATAACCCTAAGTTTATTATAGTATAAATATTTTTTTTATTATAAAGCCTAATAATAACCCCTTTTTAAATAATAAGCTTAAAAAAAAGTTAATATATATAGAATCTAAGTTAGCTCCTAGGTTAGGTTTTAAAAAAATAAGGGAATTAACTTATTATTAAATAGCTAATTTAATTTTAATAATAATTTTATTTAGCCTAGTGTGCCTATGCTAAAAACTATATTATTATTTTTTAATTATTTTAAAAAATTTTTATTTTTTTTAGTAATACTACCTTTATAAATATACCTTAATTTTTTAAAAATATTAATAAAAACCTTGCTTGTAACCCTAAGCCTATTATAATATAAATATTTTTTTTTTATTTTTAAGCTTAATAATAACCTTTTTTTTAATAATAAGCCTAAAAAAAATTAATATATATAGAATTTAAGTTAGCGCCTAGGTTAGGATTTAAAAAAAATAAGGAAATTAACTTATTATTAAATAACTAATTTAGTTTTAATAATAATTTTACTATAGCCAGCGTGCCTGTGCTAGTAAATTTATCTTTTATTTTTTATTATCCTAAGGATTATTCCACTCTAGTTAGTAAGAATACCTCCGGGAATATGTCCACCTTAACTGGAAATTCCAAGAAGAATCACGCTCGGGGCGGTGAGATGGACTTTCTATTTATCCATGCTTTTTTATAATATTAGGACAGTGATGCCAAAAGCCTGTTAGCTTTGTTAGGGGACAGTAAACCTGCTATAGTATTTATATCTTCCTTTTCTTAAAATCCCGGGAATAGCTTGTTTACACTTCCTGTAAATTTTTTTTTAATAATACTTTTATAGCTAATGCATAATAAAAAAATAATAAGCTTGTGGTTAAATAATAAACTTAAATATATATTAGACCTAGGACTACATAGTTTAAATTTAATATTTTATTTTTAATAACTTGGTAGCCTAGGTAATACTTTATAAAAATTAAAGTAATTAAAATAGGTTTATAAAATTAATTTTCTTATTTAATAAACTTTTTTTAGTTTTAAACTTACTTATAATAATTATTAGCTATATAGCACCCTTGCTAAAGCTTGGCTATTACTTAGTGTGTGTATAATTTTATTATTACTAGGTGGTATGTCCTATTTTTACCCAA